TTCTTTCCATTTCCATTTTGAACATATAACAAACATATAATGTCTTGAATAATCTCGCAAACCAACATGTAACAAAAAACAAAAAAGCAAACCCAGCAGACATATAGGAAGAAGAGGAAGAAACAAGAGGAAGAAAGAAAAAGAAAAAGAAGAAAGGAAGAAGATGATCGAAAGAGGGGAAGAAGATGGATCAAAAAGGGGAGAGGGGTAAATTTGTAATTTTTTATTTTTTATTAAGGCAAAATTGGTTGATGAGTTGACAGTGAGTTGGCACTAACGTGGCTAAAAAAAAAATTCCAGATCAATGTTTTTTAAAATTATTTTTGCCACGTCATAAAAAAAATTATAAAAAATGCCACATAAGCAAGTTAACGACCCGAATTAACAGAAGGACTAATGGAGTGCATTTCATATAGTTAAGGGATCAAAAAGTGCAAAAAATTGTTAAGAGACCAAAAATGTGCAACTCACTAAAGTTGAGAGACCAAATTTAGCATTTAATCTCTAGACAATGTGAAAGGGAGAATGCTTAAACTCCCTAGTTCCTTGTATTGTATGAAACCAATGTGGTTGAAATCAAGGACAAATTTGACAACTACCACTCCAAAGATACTAATTTGACTTACTCAAATTGCGATTTATTTAGAATACTTAGAAAAATAATTGAGGGCAGATTAGTCATTTGGCTGAACTCAAGACAATATCATTGAGTAATAATTTGTCCACAGCTCTTGGTTATATATAGATAGATCCATAGATGACAAACACAAGAAAACACAATAAAGTTCTCACAAGAATTTCAGCCCCAACTGCTTGCAAATCCCTAAGATCTCCCTAATTTCGCACATCACGTAAATCAACCAAGGAGATGTTGACAATCCATCCACTACCACCAAAAATCCTAAAAATTCCTTCTCTTCTTTGATTATGCCTTCTTAAATCACATCTAACTTTGTGAAAATCTTGCAATCCCACATTCTTTTTTACAAGTTTCCAATGGAAATTCAGTTCCAGCAGCAGAATTCAAGCATTCCTGTTAGTAAAGGAACCAAATTCAAAGCAAGAAGCAAGACTAAAAGCAGCAAGTTTGTTGGGGTGAGGCAAAGGCCTTCTGGGAGATGGGTAGCTGAGATCAAAGACACAACTCAGAAGATTAGGATGTGGCTTGGCACCTTTGAGACTGCTGAGGAGGCTGCTCGAGCCTATGATGAAGCTGCTTGCCTTCTCCGTGGATCCAACACCCGAACCAACTTCATTACTCAAGTTTCCTTGGATTCTCCTCTTGCTTCCCGGATAAGGGATCTCCTCAACAGCAAGAAAAGAGGTAAAAAACAAGGTGGTGAAGCATCAAGCCCCAAAAGCAGCAGCACTTCTAGTAGTTCTAGCTGCATCACCTCTGATGGCGGTAGCAGAGAGAATTCTCTTGTTCCAGACACCCAGTTGTTTGATGATGCATATAAACCAGATATGAGCAACTGCACTGAGGAGGTAGAGATGGGATCTTCTCCATCTGGTCTTTCTGAATCTGGATTTGACAGGTTTCTTTTCTCCCAAGACATTGTGGATTTGCCAAGGAGTGTCCTTTTATCTGGAACCAATAATGTCCCCGAGTTTACAGAATTTGAGACGATGAAGGTGGAGAGGTCAATATCAGCTTCCCTATATGCAATGAATGGGGTGCAGGAATACATAGAAACTGTCCATGATCCTTCTGAAGCCTTATGGGATCTTCCCCCTATATGTTCATTGTTGTGCTAAGTGCTTAAATTTTGATATTCAATCTAAAATTTGTTTCTGTTTCTTCTTTAAAAGTCAGGAGATGATGTAGGATTTGTTGCAAGGTTTATAATAACAAAAGCAGCTATCATATTAGATTGAATTTATTAAAAATTTGAAAACTTTGGTCTTGTTTTTCTGAAGATGTCAGCTATAAATGAGAATTGCCGATTTAAATATGAACTAGAATGTTCTTTCTGTCTCTCAGAATCCCAAGCTCTCTTTCTCCTGTCCCTGTTGAATTTCAGATGGTATTGGTATCTTCAAGGCATTCCAAATTCCATAGTAGGGAGTTTCTATCTAGGTACAATCTCTTTTAGTCTTAGATTATCTTCACCATTTTTATCAATAATTAAGCACCTTATGAAAATCATAATTCCAACGCAAGATTTGGGCAAAAATGCACTATCTCTTATTGTATATGTATATCCCAATCTTACGAACCCCGAGGAAAGGGGGTTAAATGATGATTATTCTATGTAACTAGTTTACTCTTGATATGGGAGTCCATCATATTTCAGTACCTAAACATTTCCTTTATCTAATTTCACTACCATAGTCATTTAAAAGGAAGTAATAAATGGTGTTATGTTAGTTCTCACCTATTCATGAGTAATCACTCAAGACTAGAAAAAAAAAATTGCAAATTTGGGTGAAAATTACCTTTATGCTCTAATTGTAGGTTATCATTAAGGGCATAAAAACTGAGAATTTTTTTTTGTCAGTATGCTGAAAACAATTTTTCCAAATTGTATTGTATTAATGGACATAACTTTCATCATGAGTCCAGCTTCATGTTGTCCTCATATGCCTCCTTGCAGCATGCATGTCTTTGTCAAACCCATATGCGATACAACCACAAGCCTGAACCAATTAGAATGATAAAGAAAATAATGAATTTAACAAAAGTCTACAACATTGTTTTTCACTTTCCTCTTATGTGGAGGTTTTTGCATGCTTCATGCATTTGGCATGTTTAATTAGCAAAAAAAATTGGTAGGAGATTCTTGTGTGCAATGGCTTAAGATTTAAATACCCCTGTTAACTGTTGGTGCCCTCTAACATCTACAGTTTAATTTGGGGTTTGTTATCATTTATATTCAAATAGAATCTCTCTATTGTTATCAATTGAAAACAAGTTAAGTGTTTTAATAAAATATTATATTGATTGGTTGTTATCTCATTATTTATTGTTGTTGAATTTTTTTAATTTACGTGACAACTAGACATCTATTCTTTCTCATATCATATTTTGATTTATTGTGATTCTTGACTTAATATATATTATTATTTCATTTTAAGTTTGATTCTTTTTTGAACTCTTTATAATTGGTTGTGTTACCGTAGTGCTAGCATCTTTCATGCTAATCTTCACATAGCTTTTTTTTTTTTTTTTGTTTAATTTACGATCAAGATATTCCCAAATTAGTTTTTGTGCACCTCGAGACTAATTCTTCCCTAGACAATCTTAAGAGTACACTCTCATATCAACTTAGTGTATTCAAAAAAATTAATTTCTTTAGGTGCTGACCCCAAAACTTGAACCTTAAATCTATCTTATAAAATGATATTTACTTACTAGTAGATCCAAACCTAGGTTACTTGGAAAATGAAAATGAGGAAGTCAGAAAGGGCTGGACCATAAGGAGTTAAGGACATTCTGCAGCCAGCCCTAATCTTAAGGGTGGTCCTCATTCTTAAGAGTGGTCCCCTAATTATTGAGCTGTAAGAGGATGAGATTATGAAAATGATGCTTTTCCATTAATGATATCTCTACAAGTTCCTTGGCTATTTTAAAATGTCAACTTCTATGGTGAATGCACCTTAAACGAACAAAGTTCTGAATACAGAACAAATTTTGCTGAGATCTATCCATTTTTCTAAGGAAAAATTCATGAAGTGAAATTGATTTGCAATTTTCCTTTTTAGTATATTGAAGGGAACCTTCTTTGCATTTTAGTGGTTTAAACTCTATCATTGACCTAAAATCAAGTTATTAAGTATCAACTTAGATAATATTTTATTATTACCGAGGAAGCTTCTGGATGAAAGTGGGAAAGTTTCAGCTTTGAATCTTATGTCTCAAGACCAAGTAATTGCTACAAATTAGAGAAAGAAGGTCATGAAACAACCCTGAATCCGGATGAATGCAATTTCCCTTAGTTCGGCTGTTTGATTACTAAAAGATTAAGGAACTTTCATCAAAATAAGTAAATTCACTAATTCATTGCAGAAGGCACCATTATTTTAGACATTCAAAGGCCTCATCTCAGGCGATGGAAACTACCAATCCTCACAACTGCGTTTCAAAACACTCAAGTTCAGAGCCAAGACATAAGCACAGCCAATCAAGTGAAATTACAACAATGCAAAGCCAATCAAGAGAAATTACAACACTGCACAGCCAATCAAGTGAAATGTAAATTGGAAAGGGAGACATTAACAGCTCATGCTGTCACATACATGCTTTCAGTAATCTTCTCCTTCCTCTTCCTCATCAACGCCTTCAGCTCCAACTTCCTCATAGTCTTTCTCCAGAGCAGCAAGATCTTCACGGGCTTCTGAGAACTCACCTTCTTCCATGCCTTCACCAACATACCAGTGAACAAATGCTCGTTTCGCATACATAAGATCAAATTTGTGGTCAATTCGGGAGAAAACCTCAGCCACAGCTGTGTTGTTACTAATCATGCAAACTGCACGCTGCACCCTAGCAAGATCACCCCCAGGTACCACTGTTGGTGGCTGATAGTTGATGCCACACTTGAAACCAGTTGGGCACCTGAACAAATAATTGTATTGCAATAACTCAAACAACAAAAAGGGTTTAAAAATAGACTGAAAAAGTGTTTTCTGGAAAATGAAAATCATTAGGACCACCCAAGTCAGTTTTTGGGAAATTGAAATGCTAACATGTTAACTTACCAGTCAACAAATTGAATGGTCCTCTTTGTCTTGATTGTTGCAACAGCAGCATTGACATCCTTGGGTACAACATCACCACGATACATTAAACAGCATGCCATGTATTTCCCATGCCTTGGATCACATTTAGCCATCATACTTGCAGGTTCAAAGACGGCACTTGTGATCTCAGGAACTGATAACTGCTCGTGGTAAGCCTTGACAGCTGAGATTACTGGGGCATAGGATGAGAGCATGAAGTGGATACGAGGATATGGAACAAGGTTAGTCTGGAACTCTGTAATGTCTACATTTATTGCACCATCAAACCTCAAGGATGTGGTCAAAGATGAGATGATCTGGGATATCAAACGGTTCAAGTTTGTATAAGTTGGCCTCTCAATATCTAAGGATCTTCTGCAGATATCATATATAGCTTCATTGTCCAGAAGCACAGCCACATCTGTGTGTTCAAGGAGAGAATGAGTTGAGAGGACACTATTGTAAGGTTCCACAACTGCTGTTGAAACCTGCAAAATTTGGAAAGGTGAATAAGCTACTTCTTAAACCAGTAGTTTGAGCACATCAGAGAAAAAG